CCAGAAAAATGGTAAAGGAAAAAAACATTTCTTTTGATCAGATCTACTCACTGTTAAAATAAATGACTCAACTTCGAAGTCACCCTGTATAAAGAACATCAGTTCCGGTTAAGCGAGATGTATTTGTGGAATAGGATCAGGTGCAACAACGTGCTATTTTGACCTTTGACTACACGATAATCACCACGCAGCCACGGCGCACGGCCTAGGCAGTGTCGCCAAACAGCTGGAGATTTCAGCAGGATGGCGGGAGACACCGACTTAGGTCTAAGTCAAACCGACAAAAACTGCAAGTTATGTTGCGATAGCATTAGAAAATCGTGCGTGAAGTGTGAAGGTGATAACTGCAGTGTTATTTTACATTCTAAATGTTTTGAAAATGTCGCCAAACTTTTTTTTGCTGATCGAAAAAATTGGAAATGTAAAAACTGCATCTCTAAATGCAAGTCTTCCCCAAGTGCGAATTCTAATGATGTTGCGATCCTTCGACACGAAGTCGAATGTCTAAATCGTGAGAAAAATGTATTAGTTGATTTAAATAATGAATTGAAGACCAACAATAGCTTATTACAAGAGAAGGTATCGTCATTAAATGTATCATATGCTGCCAAGGCTGCATTGCCTGCAGTAGGCGCTCCAGAAAGCTCAATGTCCCACGCTGTAATTAACAACAGGCAGACTAATACCCAAACATCACAAGGTATTATTGTGAAAGCAAATAACTCGTCCATTTCCAGCAATGATGTGCTCAGTCATGTCCACAAACACGTCAATCCTACTCAATTAAAACTTTGCCTAGATGGCGTCAAAAAAATTAAGAACGGCGTAATAATTCGCTGCGCTGATGAAGGCTCTATGCATACGCTACGGCAGCATATTGAAACGAAATTAGGTGCCAAATATGAGGTTGACAAGGCTAAGTTATTCAACCCTCGACTACTTGTGAAAAATGTTCTTTTAGATAAGAACTCTACAGATAACGATATTCTCCAGAATATACGAACTGTTAATGGCTTAGAAGATTTTCAAGAACACGAAATTAAATTGGTGGCGAAGACAAAACATAAAAACTCCACGAATTTGATATTAGAAGTGTCGGCTACAGTGAGAAATTTCCTTATCGATCGCGGTTATATATATGTTGGTTGGAATAAGTGCCAAGTGAGTGATCATATTAGGATAACTAGATGTTTCAAATGTAGCGGAATCGGTCATCTGGAAAAAAATTGTCAGTCAGCTATAATATGTCCATTATGTAGTGGCGAGCATCGTCTGAAGGAATGTTCATCGAATACGGTAAGATGTATAAATTGTGTAAAAAACAATCAAAAATACAACGCTAACCAGGACAATCACTCATCATTCAATCAGAATGATTGTCCAATATTACAAAGTCACATTAATAATTTGAGGGCTAAAATAAACTATGGGAAATAAAAAAAAACTTAAAAATCTCAGGATTGCTCATGTTAATGCAAGATCGTTGGTTTCCGGTTTTGATTGTTTCAAATCATTGGTAGGGTATAATGACTTGCACATAGTTGGTGTATCCGAAACGTGGCTCTCCGATAATATCCCTTCAGATGTTGTTAGCATAAGAGGTTTTAACTTATTTAGATGCGATAGGCAGGGTAGAGGTCGAGGTGTTGCTATTTTTATAAAGAGCGATACTGTCAGCAGCTTTGATAATAGCTACAACGAGCTGAAAATAGAATTTCTGTTTCTCTCGTTTAAAATTGGTAATACAAGTTACTGTGTAGGAGTTATTTATAAGCCTCCAAATGAAAACTTATCAAGTATGTTAGAATTCTTGGATAATCTACTACCACAACTCATAAGCGAATATGACAACTACTTCATATGTTTCTAGTGGTACAATGAATGCTGATAGCTTTAGTGACCATCAGATGGTATATTGTGATGTTAAATGTTCAATCAAATGTGAACCAAAATTTGTAACATACAGAGACTTTAACAACATTAACTTAGAGGCATCTGATAATAACCTTTATCGGATAGACTGAGAAAGCATACTTCACTTCAGCGACATAGAAAGCAAAATTGAGTTTTTGACATCAAACTTATTGTCACTTTTTACTTGCACTGTCCTGAACGAACCGTACGAGTCACAAAGCCAAAAGCGCCTTGGCGTACTGCAAACGTACAAATGTTATTCAGGGAAAGGGGTGAAGCTTTCTCCAAATATAATATGGATCCATCAGAAGAAAACTGGAACAGCTATAAAAGCCTCAGAAATTACTCCTTGCTAGCATTACGCAAAGAAAAATCAGCCTATTTGGAACATCTACATAAAAATAAAAACTCTAAATCTCTTTACAAATCATTGAAACAAATGCACATGCAAAGTAATAACGAGCCTCCGAACATTCCGGTCCACCTTCCCAATCCATATAAAGTGAATGATTACTTTACCTCAATTTTTAAGAATAGTGAAGAACAATGTATGGACAAAATAATTCATTATCGTAACAACAGTCATAGTTTTGAGAGGTTTTCTTTCAATTTAATTGACTTTACAAGCTTAGCATCTATAATCAGTCATATTGGTTCCAATGCATCTGGTAAAGACGAAGTTACATTGCGAATGTTAAAATTTGTTGCATATTATCAATCTATGCTTAGAGAGAGGCTATTTTCCAAGCGCGTGGAAAACAGCAATGGTAAAACCACTCGCTAAAACCTCGAATCCTTTGTCATTTGACGACCTACGACCGATAAGTCTTTTGCCTCTTCTATCCAAAATACTGGAACGCGCAGCTTATATCCAGATTTACGAGTACTTAGACAAAAATAATACTATAAGTGTTCATCAATCGGGTTTTAAAAAAAATCATAACACTACTACGGGTTTAGTGGACTTGATCGATGGCATAATTTCCGCGCTTGACAATAAAAACTTGTGTGCTCTTGTCCTTTTAGATTTCTCGAAGGCATTTGATACATTGAATCACAAACTGCTTGTAGCCAAATGTCATTACTATGGCTTTGATGATCTTGCTTGTAAGCTCATCAAGTCATATTTAAGTGATCGCTCGTAAGTGGCTGTGGTTGATGGTCAGATGTCTTTGCCAAATAAAGTTCAGTCCGGAGTACCTCAAGGCTCCGTATTAGCTCCATTGCTATTTTTGTTATACACCGCGGATCTTCAAGATACTGTCAAGCACTGTCATGTGCAATTCTTTACCCATGACACTCAGGTAAAGTATGATTTTCCAGCCTCACGCTACTCTGAAGCCCAAGACCAAATCAATGAAGATTTGTCAAGTATTAGCCGCTATTGCAAGTTACATAACCTCAAGCTCAACACATCGAAGTGTAAAGCCTTACTATTTGGCAATATCAAAATAAGAGCAAATCTTATAAGCAAAATTGCCGTTCAAATCGAAGGAAAAATCATCCCTTATTCAGAATGTGCCAAAAATTTGGGCTCACATTTAGATGAAGACCTGAGGTTTGAAAAACACTAACAGCACGTTTTGAGGCAATGTTACGGTTCGCTCCTGCTTCTATTTGCAAACAATTGCATCACTGGTAAGCAATTGAAAAAACAGCTATGTGAAAGCTTGGTATTGTCTAAGATTTCGTATGGGCTAATAATTTATTACCCCTGCCTAACTGCTTCGAATAAAAGACGTCTACAGATAATGCAAAATACTTGTAGTAGGTACATAAATAATTTGAGGAAATTTGATCATATATCGCATACGTATTCTGACCTCAATTGGTTAACTATAGATAATCTTTACAAATATTCTGTTATAAGTTCTGTGCATCGTATTTTACTATCCGCATCACCTCCATACCTGTTTGAAAAATTTACAATGCCGTTAAATATTAAAACAGTATTAATTTTCATTTTAAAAATATTGCGAATATTAAAACTTTTAAATTAAAATTGAAGTCCGATCTTCTATCGCAAACATGAATTGCCACTTATATATTTTTATTGGTTAATGATGGTTGATTTTAATAAAAATCCCTTTGATCACAGTTTTGTTGGTTTAAAACAAACCGATTTAAATGTATGTACCATAGTTAATGTCATCCATTTCTATGTAATTTCGTATAAATTATCAAAACGGGGTTAGGTGGAAGAATAGCTCACGCTAATCCTCGCCCCTCGTAGTGTACTAAATGTTTAGTGCAATAAAGACAATTCATTATTACTATTATTACTAGCTCTCGCTTCAGAGAAGAAGCCGTTGCTTCTCTCCGGCTTATTCTTCTTTTTAGGATAATTTAAGTAATTATAAGTATCATAATTCGAACTCTTCAGGAGACGGTAGAAACTGTATCTCTAACAAATAAGCCAGGCTTAAGATTTTTCGAGCATAATGTAAATAGTATTTGAGTTCTACAAGTTTGGAAAGAATCATGTTATTCGTATTTTTCATTGCTTATTATTCAAAATTTCACCATCGTGAAAGTGTACACACGTTCAACTTTCTTCTATAATCGGCAACCGGTTGTAGAAGAATCCACGTACTTATGTTACTACCAGTCATCAAAATGTATTTTTTCAACTTCAATAAAATAATTGACATTGCAATTTAGGAGCTGTGCATGTAATTCCACCTTTGTGCTACAGCTAGTTAAAATACTTAGCTAATATTTAAATAACCTTCTCAGCAATACAAATGAGAATTGAGTCAATGGTTTTGGTAGGAATCAAGAAAACTGCCAAACAAGTGATTTCGGATAAAGCGGAGTTATTGAATTCAAAATTAATATTTTGATGCATACTCGTATAGCACATATAAGTATGAAAATAAAGCAATACAGGCGTACAGGTACTGTTTTTGAAATAACCCATTGAAGTATCTGCCGTCGGGAGAAAATTCTCCCGCACCTCAAAGATTCATAAAAAAGCAAGCGCCTTAATAACACCATATCATTTCGTTCCATGGGGTGTCTATTTCATAAATAAAAAAGGTGAATTTCATATATATGTATGAGGAGGATGGGTAGCATTTTAGACCGTCAATCTACAAGAAATATGACTAAATGCTACTACCAGGAAGGACCGAGGTTGCAGATATTATCTATTTTCTACGAAAAAATATTTCAAAAAGTAGGATGGTCTGTAAGAAAACAATGAATTGGTATCATTTCCGGCATAACAGGACGCGTCTACAACATCGGAAAGATATATCTATATATCAAAAAACTTTATTGATAAACACTTCATAATAAATAACAAACCGTCAAACATTGACGTTTCCCACAAGTTTGCTGCTCAACTACTAAATTTTTGGACGGGATAGTGTTCTTTGTATTTCTCAACATGTTTCTCCATTTGCTGCTTCTGTCTCCTGTAAATAGAAAAGTCAATTTTCATACAAATATTGCCAAATAAAATTGTATGTAATATTTCTGTTTAAGCACCTTCATGTTGCTCCTAGCCTTGTGTGGAACAACATCAAATATTTTTATAAAAACTGGCAATTATAGGTAATGGAATTTCAGCTTGCCTACTTATCAGTTCAAAAGATAAGTAGGACAGAGGCCTTTCCTTTTATATGTAGTGCTTGGGATATACTCATGAATGGGACCAGATAAATATTTGCATTGATACAAATTGCACCACAAAATGTCCTTATAATGATACCGTTTATCTAATTTCATTTGTTTAACGCATATCCCGCTCCAAGTCAATAATGTTTGTCCCAGATTCGCTTCCTATCCAGGGATCTCGGCTCCTGTTTTGCCTACAGCAAAGGTTAAATGGGGACGGTTTTAGAGGAAACTAGTAATAATAGTATAATAGTATAATCAACTTTAGTTTCTAAGGTATTAATAATGCAAATATGTTTTCCGGCATCACTGGTTTTAACATGTTCCATTCATTTTTTGTTAAGTTTTTAATAATTTTCCATTTTGTGCTAGTATTTTACTTAATGGCTTAAGGTACTTACGCCAAATGTGGTGGCATGTATTTGTAAACATCCTCGAACACTTCAGTCCATTTTGGCTTAGGTTTCTTTTCTCCTTCATTAAATGCCTTCAGAACATTTTTCCTAGACTCTTGTAACCAAGCCTTTTCCAATTCATCGTTCCAAAGGTTCTTTTTCTCTAGATAGTACCGCAGTTTGTTAACAGGATAGTCATTTGTTTGCCAATGTAGCACTTCGTCACTACTTCTGTAAGCGGTACTATCGTCTGATGTTGAATGGTCGCCCACACTTGAAACAAATGAATTTTGTTAAAGCCAACCAAATTTGTTGTGATTAACTGAGTCCCAGTCTAGTGATAAGGTTGAAGACAAGGCCGAGTTCAATTACGATTTAGCGATGATTGTGGTTAGCAGATGATACTCTAAAAAAGTAAAATTCATAAGGATTCTAAATTTCCTTAAACGTGTCATTGTTCTTCATTCATTCAGAAATGCAGATAATAATGCTGGAAGTTAGTCATAATTCTCATACATGTAAATTTTGCGTTTTCCGTTTCATAAATCCTATTTACAGTTCTTTATAGACAAATAAATTGCAAAAAAATAGTCTACAAAGAATATGCACTAACGTTGCAAAATAATGTAATAGTTCTTAGTATGCGATATGCCAAGACTCAACAAGGGGATATGTTTTTTTCATCAATACAGATGTTCTGGTGTCAGAGCTAGTGAAATTAATCACCTGCATTTATGTCGAGTCAAAAGAAGACGGGCTCTTGGCATATGGAGTCATTACACTACTGTATGGATTAAAGATAAGTGGTAGTTATCGTAGCACCCGAAAAAAGTATTGATATTAGATAGATAGGGGGTTGTGGCTTATCACAGATTTGAGAATGACACACAGAATGCATCATGGGTATGACATTTGCATCCCTCACAGATCTTAAGCCCTCTGAGGAACTACTAAGTAGAAGCTAGCTCAAGATTTTACCAGCAGTACTAATGTGATGACAGCTAGAACCTTAGCATCAATTTCGTTTATTTTTTTGTCAAGTTGTAGGTAATTTCATTGTCATTGTTATTGACTGTCGATCTTGTAAAAAAATGAAAATGTTTGTTGTTATACAGGGTTTACCTAAAAGGTGCATTTTCCCCTTTATTTCTGAACGCCCTGTGTAAACTTTGGATTATTGAATAATGTGTCTTCGTATGGGAATTTGAAGCCTCAACTTTTCTCAACAGTGCTTTTTTTGATTCATGTCAATATCTCGATTATTGAAAAATATATGCTGTTTTGAAGAAAATCGTTCTTTTTACACGAGTCTCGTTTTACGAGATAATTATTCACCTGATGGTCAACAAAGAGTGTGAAGAGGTCATGGAGAATCTATGCTCAAAGTTGTCTCGCTCCTAGAGTGCAATTTGGTGGTGGAGGAGTGATGGTATGGGGCGGTATTTCTTTGGGATCCCGCACAGATCTTATTTCACTACGAAGGGGACAATGTTGTCGCTGTAATTTTTTAAATTAAATTGTTTATGGCTATGATTCGCATGATTTATTCAAAACAGCATATATTCTTCAATACTTCAGATATTGATATGAATAAAAAAGGACTGTTGAGAAAAGTTGAGGCTTGAAATTGTCATACGAAGACATATTATTCAGTAATCCAATTTTTCCACAGGGTGTTCAGAAATTTAGGGCAAAATGCACCTTTTAGTTACACCCTGTATAACATTAAACATTTTCATCTTATTGCAAGATCGGTAGACGATAATGATAACAATGAAATTACCTACAACTTGACGAACAAATTAACAAAATTAATGCAAAGGTTAAAAAGTTATTTCAAATTTAATTCTACGGTTAATTTTACGTGGCAGTGTATACTGATCAAAATCTCATATATGGCGTGCAAATCTAATGTGTTACAAATAGAATAAGATGTGTTATTCGAGAATGCAAATATCTTAGAAACACCCTTAATACTGATTATATGAAAATCTCAAACGTGTGCAGTTACATCTTTGCTATGGGAATACCTGGCTGGGGAGGAGCTGCTTTCATCTAAATATAGAACTTGGAGATTGCCCAAGAATATAAAAATATTTATTGAATATTATTTATGGCAAGAGCAAGACTCATTCGTATGATGAGATATACCACGAGTCTAGAATGATGGACATTAGGCAATTCTTTATAATGACATAATAATAATATTTATTCACTCAATGTACATAGATAACAAACAATATGAGTAAATAAATATAAAATCAAAACAGGCCCAATAGAAGGCATCGCCTGTACATGGACCAATAATTTAAGTTGAAACTGTAGAATGCAAATGACAAAAAAGGACAAAAATTAGCTACAGTAGATTATGTATTTAGTTGATGTTCGTATTTATGAGTTTATGAATTTCAGTCCTAGATATAGAATGTAGCCACTTTTTTAAATTTCTTTTGAAACAATTTCCGAAACGTAAATCTTTTAAGCCTTTAGGTATAATTTCATAAAATTTAGGCGCTAAATAGAGATATGATCGCTGCATTATAGATTTATGCGGTTGAGGAACTACTGTGCCACGAATTTTGTACCTGGTATAATGATTATGTTTAATTTTTTGGTCGGTGTTTACAAATTTATGGTAGTGAGTGATACTGTGTAAGAAATAAAGCTGTCTTATATCATACATTCGAACAACTGCGTATAATTTTTCAGTGCGATAAAGTTTCGGTTTTTTAAATATCATTTTTAGAATACTTTTTTGAAAAACATCTAAATTATAGATATGTGAGGAACATGCAGCTCCCCATGCTAATATACCATATGTGAGATGAGGCTCAATCAGTGCATGGTATAATGTTCGAAGATATTTTTCTGTCAATATATTCCCAAGGTATTTAATTTTGTAGGATACAAATCTAACTTTCTTTAAAATATAATTGACATGGATGTCCCATCGTGAGTGAGGATCCAAGACCACTCCAAGGTATTTTATGTTGGGCACTCTATTAATTTGCATTTTTTGATCATTAATGTTGAAGGAGAAATTTGTGTAATTTGGCAGATGTCTAGCATAAGATCCAAATGGTAAAAAATGTGTTTTAAAGTAGTTAATGCTTAATTTTCTACTGTTAAACCACCAAATAATTTTGATAAAATCATTTTCAATTACATTTTTCAGATCAGACCAGTCAGTGCTTTAATATTTCAGTATCATCTGCAAAACTAGTTATTTTGCCAACACAATTAATTTGGAAAATATCATTTAAATATATATTGAATAACAGCGGACCTAAGACAGTTCCTTGTGGGACACCACACTTAATATACATTTCTTTACTAAATGATCCTGATATCTGCACAGATTGTGGGCGATTTGACAAATAATTTTCGATCAGTGAGTACGCGTTGCCTCTGAAACCAATTCTCTCCAATGCTTCTAATAAGAATTTGTGATTAACTGTGTCGAAAGCTTTCTTTAAATCAACAAAAATGCAGATTGAAGGGATTCTGTTATCAATATTTTGATGTATTTGATTTACAATTTTAATTATTGCGTCCGATGTAGCCTTCCCTTCTGTAAATCCATACTGATTTTCACTTAAAATTTTGAATTTTGTGAGGTATCGAATCATTCTAGTAGATAAAACTTTTTCAAAAACCTTTGCTACACTGGATATTATTGATATTTGTCTATAGTTGTTAACATCTGTTTTTGTTCCTGATTTATGTATCGGTATTATATTACCTTTTTTAAAATTGAGGGATATATGCCAGATTCAAAGCATTTGTTGATTAGGTAGGTGAGTGGTTCTGTTATGTCCTCGGCTATAATTTTCAAATGCTCGCTTTAATACCATCGAACCCAGGACTTTTCCCATTTTTTAAGGACATAACAGTGGTGTATACTTCACATTGCTCGACTTTATCCAAAATAAATGAGTTCAAAGTTCTTTTTGGAGGCTGAGTATTTTGTACATTTGCTTGTATAGTACTTGCTAAATTTTCGCCTATGTCAGTAAAGAATTGTACAAATTCATCGAATATCTGTTGAGTATTTTTTAATACTGTTCCCGATGTTGTATTTAACTCAGTGACACACTCTTTAAATTTTGTTTTCCCAGTAATCTCATCAATAGTTGTCCAAAGCCGCTTAGGATCATTTGAGTTATTATTCAATTTATTTAGGTAATGTTTTCGTTTGGTTTGCCTTGCAAGCTCTATAAATTTATTTTTATATTGGTTGTAGCAGTCAGTATTCTCTGTAGTTGGCGTTAGTTTCATTACATTATATAGTCTTTCTTTTTCTATTGCTGATGTTATTAATCCTTTGGTAATCCAGGCATTTCTGCTTTTCTCTTTGTGACTAATTATTACTTTATTGGTACTAATATCTATTAGTTTTTTTATTTATTTAAAAATATATTTCTTTAAAGATAAAACATATCATGAAATTGTACACAAATACGACACATGTCAGAAAGTTGCTGAGCACATAATGGAACCTATGCCAAAAAAAAACATTATCGCAACGCTCCTGGACTTTGCCCCAAATTTAATACGAAACAAAAGAATTTCAGTATGGGTGGAAGGTATATCCAAGAGCACGATACATGATTATTTGATCCCATGGGTGTTTTAAATTCGACCCTCGCCCTCGCTCCTCCGTAGAGAGACGGAAAAACCGAATTTTCCCAAAATCGTTTTAATTTTTTCTGACTTAATTTGTAGTGGGATTTCAAAATAAATTCGACATTAACATTGCCACTTTTTCTCCTCTACAAGTTAGCACAATAAGGATTTAAATATGACGTTTCCTCTCTTGTCCTTCAGCTTCAACTTTAATTTTTTGTTGTGGATATCATATTGAATTTTTGCGCAGATGAATATAGTTTTTAATACTGATTTCAAGAATATATAATATATCGTACACTGACATTGCCAAACCTTAGTTATCCCAGAAAAACAGAAGTTTCTAGATAATCTTTGAAATTATCAATTTTGAGCATCTGCTATGACTCACCTCTACTCATTCATGTTACTACCACGAGTATAATTTTCATTTTGTCTTCAGGTTCCACCATACCTTTTTATTTCCTTATAATTGCCATCCAACAACAAATCCAAGGAAAATAATTAAGAAACACTTCACTAAATTTGGTACTGAAAAGTCCACTAAATGTACAAATTTCCAACATAACGTCCATATGAAAAAACAAAGTTGGTGCTAGAAATCGAAAGAAGAAACGTCGAATTAAAAATTTTACTGCGTCGTTTGTTAGAGGAGACTAAGTAAGGGTGTCAATATGAAATTTATTTTGAAAGATTTTGAGTGGTTTTCGGATGAATTTAGCATGCGAAACAAACGACATCTGATAATTTGAGGGCTGTCTCGGAAATCATGCTTTTTTGCTATAACTAAAGGTTGGTAATATCAATATATGACGTACTATACATTTTTTAATCAAAATAACAAAAAAACTCTATTCATCTGTGCAAACATGGAAACTTGTAGAGGAGAAAAGGCGGCAATGTTGATGTGAGATTTAGTTTGGAATCCCACTACAAATAAATTCAGGAAAAATTGAAACGGTTTTGGGATATTCATTTTTTCCGTCTGTCTCCGAAAGTACTCTGAATTTTGAAATTTTCTAAGCGGCATCTTGTTAACTACCCAAATACGCAACTTTTCTTCCATTTAAGCGACTTCGTAACTCTTACAGTTTCCGAAATCCCAATGGTGATGGTCGGAATTCAAATCCCTGTATAGAAGGCAAAACACTATAAATGTCACTTTTAACAACTGAAGGGTAGCCACCGTGAACAATTTTAATGTTACATTTTATTATATGTATTTTATCCTATAGTTTATCTCATGTATAATGGGCACATTAATTTTAATTTAATTTTATTCTATTCTACGCTTGATGTATTGTCATTTAAGTTTTATTCTCTTTTACCACTGATGCACGTGTTGTTTTTACTTCAGTTTAGCTCAATAGGCCTATTTAATCTACGAGTTGCGTCCTAAAATGCTTAGTTTTTTAATACATGTAATTTATTATTGAATTTAGTTAAAATGCTACACTGTTAGTTCAAAGTTTTGTCGTCTCCGCCAGTGACTCTGTAACGACGAATTATATCCGTGCGTCAGTGTATAACCACGTAGTTTATCATCAAATATTCGAAAGACTGTATATACGAGGGGTGTCTTTTATGTTTTGCATATGAAAATAAAACAACACGGTAGGTATTTTTAAATGACTTTATTGTTTTTCGAAGTATTCTCCACGAAGATTAATATATATCTGCATGCGCTCGAGCCAATTTTCGAAGCACTTATTCCACTCGTTTGCTGGCAGATCCAAAACGGCATTTTTGAATGCGTCAACTGCTTCTTCTGGTGACTGAAACCTTTGACCACACAGTCTGTTTTTAATTTTCGGGAAAGTAAAGAAATCGTTAGGACTTAGATCGAGACTATTTGGAGGATGGTCCAATAATTCCACGTTTTCTTCCGTTAAATACTGTCTTGTTCTTTGGGCTGTGTGCGAGCTTGCATTGTCTTGGTGGAGGATGATTCTTCTTTCGGGGTTGATTTTTCAAAGCTCGGTGATGACTTTTGGCAAACAAATGGTGGTATACCAATCCGCAGTAACAGTTCTTTGCTAATTAAGAGGAATTGTTGCAATATTACCCGCTTTTGACACAAATGTCGCGACCATCTTTTTCGAAACACTTCGAGAACGGATGACTTTCTTGGCTTTTCTTCACCTTGGAACACCCAAACAGCCGACTGTCGTTTATTTTCTGGTTCATAACGGTAAATCCATGATTCATCACCACTAATAATGCTGTACACATTTTTTGAGTTTCCGGAATTGAAACGGTCAAGCGTTTTTTGACACCAATTAACCATGGCTGCTTTCTGCTCTTCAGTCAACAGGTGGGGTATCCAACGAGAAACTAATTTTCTTACTCCTAATTCTTCATGTAAAATTTTTTGAATTGAGGTCTTTGAGATCTTCAAGGACTCCTCAATCTCACGATATGCCACATGTCTGCGCGCAGCATCGACATTTTCCCGGGTGACTGACGTTTTTGGTGCACCCACCCTGGGATCGTCGCTAAGACTCAGCCGTCCACGTTTGAATCCTCCATACCAACGAGAAATTGTCGACTGATGTGGCGCTTCGTTGCCGAAAACAAACAGTAACTCAGCAAGGCATTCCTGTTGCGATAATTGTCTCTGAAAGTTGTAATAAATTATGGCGCAAAAATGTTCTCGGTTAAGTTCCATTTTTCTAATGACTTGGTGAGAACACTGCACGTATTGTTGTGAAACTTTGAATTTAACTTTACTAAAGAGTGGGGTTAAGTTTCAGTACTGACGTTCGATCCGCGCGGCCTACTATGTTTCTATATGCAAAACTTAAAAGACATCCCTCGTATAACTGTGGATATACGAATGATAAAAATGGGATGGTAACACACAAGATTTTCTTTCGTGGCATCACTTTTATTTGTCTTTGAAACCGCTTTGTGGCAACAACCTTTTGAATTTGTACTATTTGGCAAGTGAATTATTACTGTTGTTTCTAAATTAGAATTGATTAACGTATTGTCCTGAAACATAACATATTTGTGAGCCAATAGATTCTAAAAATCAAATCAGCATCAAATCACCATCGCCCGAAAATCTAAACACTGATGTTAACTGGGGCACTATTATACTAGCAATTTCGATAAATACCATTTTACGACTATATTTCTACAAGCATACTCAATGTATATGTTTCATGTGTATTGATATGGATAAGAGGCTAATTCATAGACTTCTTGAAAAGTTTTGAAAGGATAGTGACGTATAAGAACTTACCGATAACTCATAGCTTCAATCAGGACTGGCTTCTGTTCCCTCAATGCATATTCCTTTGCCTTAAGCGTGCACTTGTATACCGCCAATACATCATTTCCGTCCACACGGACAGTGGCTATACCATAGGGGGGCCCTTTGGCAGCGATACCGTCTCCTCCGTACTGCTCCTCCACAGGTGTCGAAATAGCGTACCTAGTTGAGAAATATCCAAGTAGCGAAAAGTGAAGCGGTCTTCAATATAATAAATTTGAAATGTTATTGAGGGTCGTCGCGCGTGTTTATAGCTTCACTGAAATTGATGATGGAATGTTTACTGCTCAATGAATTGTCCAGCTCGACGATTTGTTGTGCGGTAAAATCGGCAAGTTTAATAAAAATGGTATTTTCCTTTGCCTTTTTACTTCTGTTGCCAGCTAACGAGAAAGTATTGTAAATCTAAAATAAAATAGTATGTTTTTTGGAAGTAATATGACATGCAGTCTGGGTATAATTACATTTTGGGAAATCCCGATTCGTCATCAGATAGATAGATAGATAGATAGATAGATGGATCTTTATTTCCAACAGGTACAATCACCCAATTACAGGAAATAGTTCAAAAAGAAAACAAGAGCAACACATAATCCTAGTATATAAAAAAGAACACAATCAAATATACAGCTAGATCAAAAAGCCAAAATATTAAAAAAAAAAAGAATAACTCTAACCGCAAGAAGGTCATTACATGCCATGGGAATTGTTTAAAGTCATTTCTAGATGAAGTATTCACATCATAAGATTCACCTAAAGAATTGAAGTTCTCACACATAACCGTGACCGGCGATTTTCTCGAGATATTTGTTCGAGCTAATTCGCAGTAAAATGTCATTTGGTGACGCAAATTGCGCACAGGTACATGAAAGTTAAGCTTACTTAATATATATTCACATATGACATCATTGTGCATAACATCATAAAGAAAATTTAAACTACTTATAACTCTCCTACTATTTGGCGACATACAGTCAAATGTATTCATGAGTACAGAATAATCACATCCTCTCTCCGGATATTCGCCTGTCCACTTGATATGCAGAAATTTCAAAAACTTTCTTTGTATTCGCTCAATACGGCTTATATGAACCGAATAGATGGGATACCAAATTAAAGAACAACTTTCCAATTTAGATCGAACGTACGAAGAATAAAGAAGTTTCAAAACATGTAAATTGGAAAATTGTCTACTGTTTCGGATGATGAAGCCCAACATTCGGTTGGCTGATGTTGTGATATTATTTATATGATCACAAAATGACAAATTGCTATCAAAGAGAACACCGATATCTTTAATTTGATAGCACCTATTCAACTCATTCTCGCTTATTTTGTAGGACCATGTTATTGGTTCTTTCTTTCTGGTGTACGTTAATATGAAGCATTTATCTACATTAACTTCAAAATGATTAGCATTACACCAATCCAAGTCAAGGTCAATGTTGCCTTGTAAAATTTGGCAGTCCGAATTTGAGCTTATGTTATGAAAAATTTTGAGGTCATCCGCATAGAGCAACTTTTGGCACGTAATCATTATAGCTAGGTCGTTTATATATAACAAGAACAATAGAGGTCCTAAATTCGATCCTTGGGGAATCCCAGATGTTGGCGAGAAAATATCAGAGCGGTGCCTTTCATATTCCACAAATTGCACTCGATTAAATAAATACGATTTAAGCAAGCTTAGAAGACGTGCCGAAAACCCAAATCGTTGTAATTTTTTCATTAAAATGTATAAGTCTACTCGGTCAAATGCCTTCTGTAAATCCATGTAAACTACATCCGTCTGTCCTCTGCTATCAAGGTTTTCACTGATGGATTGAGTAATACATACCAGATTTGACGTACAGGATTTTTTCTCTTGGAAGCCATGCTGTTCTGCTACAATTAGGTTTTTAGTGTGAATATAAATCACTTCATAGACAATAATTTCAAATAGCTTTGAAAAGTTGGATACTGCAACGATTGGGCGGTAATTTTTAATTAAAGCTCTATCACCCTTCTTCAGCACCGGGGTAACTCTGGATATCTTCCAGTTGTCTGGAAAGATGCCCGTCTTCAAAATAATGTTGAACAGATGTACTAACGGTCTGAGTAGCGCATGTATGCAATCCTTCACTAAGAAGCTGGGTATTTGATCCGGGCCTATAATCAACTTATTTTTTAACTTTTTCGCCGCTTTAAGAACATCAGCTTCACATATTTGAGGTAAATCTATAAACAAGGAGTTACCATAATCCAGGATTACATTTTCACTAAGGTTTTGATCAGGAGGTGTATAAACTGTCGAAAAATACTGTTTAAATGAGTCAACAATATCTTGGGGTTTTGTTAAGGTAGTTTCATTATATTTCATCATACAAGGTAAACGGGATATTCCTTTTTTACTGTGGATAAAATTCCAAAACTGAGAAGGATCTGATAAAATATTGTTTTCTGCTGCCAAAATAAAATTACGATATTCGTTGTCAGCTTGAGTTTTTATCATCCTTCGTAAAGAATCAAACCTCGTACGAGATGCTTCATCTCCATATCTTTTGTAGTTTTTATGTACTCGTTCTTTTTCTTTTATTTTATTTATTGTGTCTACGGAATACCATGGTGGGAACCTACGGGTCGGAATAATTTTTTTGGGTACAGTTCGGTCGAATATTCTATACAAAGTTTGTTGCAACATTTCAGTCGCTGCATTAGGATCCGTGCACTGATAAATATCACTCCAATCAATAGTCGACATTATTTCGTACATAAGGACAAAGTTTGCTTTGCGGAAATTGAAAACAGTTTCAGCTTTGTTGGGACTAAAGTTAATGGTTCTGGTAATTCTAGTGCTAATAGTGAATTGTAATGCAGGATGATGTCTGTCTTCATATACAAGTGGTGTATCACTTCTTTCAATTCGACATTCACTATTACTGAAAACGAGGTCTAAGTATCTATTGTTATAATTTGGTATAATGTTATATTGTTGGAACTCATACATTTCTGCGAAGCTCTTTACTATTATACATTTAGAGTCGTTATCATCATAGCCATACATAGGGATGTTGAAATCACCAGCAATTATGGTCGAGCTGTTATGACTGGAATTGAAGAGAGAAAAATTGTCAAAGGATATTTCAAAGTCCTCAAGCGAAATATCCGGGGGGATGTAAACAGCATATATATATATAGTATGAAATCCTAAATGAAGTTTACCACCGACTAAATCAATCTTAGGACTACCTAACTTAATACCATCCAAATCAAGAGGCTCAAAAAAATAACAATTTTTGACAGCCTTCTTTGGATAAACGGGTATCTGCAAAATTTCTGTCCTTCCTAAATACAGTGTATTCAGAAGGAAAAACTTCGGCATTAAAAACTCCTTCATTCAACCATGTCTCAGAAAGAAAAATTATATCAAAATTACAATTCAGGCTTAAATTATTATAAAAAATGGAAGTTTTAGAGTTAAGTCCGTTAACTTTTTGGTAATAGCAGTTTATTTCACTAACATAATTGGGTGTCGAATCTAAAAATTCACTATCTTCGGAACGCCGCCAACATATTTAATTTTCAAATTGGTTTCTCCTTTATTCTTCCTTTTCTCCAGTTCAGATTTGAGAGTCTTATAGAAATTCATTTGACGTGGCGTTTTGTCAGTAGAGATGGAAATATGTTTGAATTCACTAGAGTTTCTCAACGACGGACATTTTTTTATGAGTTCACTCACCTGTTCGACATTAGCAAGCGTAACTTTTATGGGCCTTCCAATTGTCCTATTTTCATCAAATTTGCCAAGTCGTCTAATGTTTGTAACCATAATTGAAGGTGTGACGTGGGTCAAGACTTTAACGACTTCAGACTTTTCTAAAACTGCCTTATCGTCTTTTGTCGCTCCATTCTGCTCCTTCAACCCAAAAATGATTACATTGCATCTTCTATTTTGTCTTTCTGACACTTCTTGTACAATATCTTCAAACTGGCTATCAGACATCTTTGTATCGTTATTTTTTGTTGACAAAGCTTTTACCTCATTTTGTAGAGCTACAATAGCTGCTTGCAAGGCATTTATGTCTCCCCCCATCTGCTCACATTTCCCACAGGTCCATGAGACTGATTTTTTTTGAGTTTATGAGTCGCGTTTCTGAAGTTGGCAGATTGACGCATACATGGTAAAAGCTTTTTCTGCAGACACAACAGGATAACAGTAGATGAGTATCAACTACCTTCGAGCAGCAGCTACACGTTTGCGACATGTTCAAACATTAATTGGTACGCCTCTGTATATATCAGATAATAAGTCTGCGAAAATCAAAAGTTCGAGAAATTTTCGCCTAACGAACAAGATAAATTCATCTTAAAATACTCTTCGGGGTCTTATATACCGAGGTTTTATCTTTAATTTAGATACGTTCTGAAAAATAATGAATTTTAACCGAGTTTCTGGGGATTTCCAACATTCCGCTTATACCTCGAAAACCGTCAACATAGGGAAATAGTTACTAGAGGCCCTTTTTGTTCAAAATGATAAAAAAATATGACAAAAACTACCCGGGCAAAAAAACATGTGTATGTGATTCATTTGAAAAAATTATTTTAGGCAATCTTGATGCGGGTTACCGATCTGCTACAAGTTGTTTCATCACGTTTCACGTTTCATTCAGAAAATCGAGTCGGAAACGTTCTCTTGCGAATGCCAGGCTTTTGGTTCTTTTAGGCTCTTCAAAAATGATCACTTGATTTCGTGGAAGTCATTAATTGATCAGTTTGAGATAAGCAATGTAGCTGATAAAAAATGTCCCACATTTACCTTAAAATTCTTAACATCAGTCTAACATGCATTAAAACTCGCCAGTTACAATTTGGATACGTCGCATCGCTCAGAAATCACATTAAAATGTTTTTTTCGCCAGACAAGTCTTATTCCGATTTCTTGGAGCATTTTGAACAAAAAAAGGCTCTAGTAATTTTTTCTTAAAGTTGATCGTTTACAAGATATAAGTGATGCAATTATATTCAGTCCTTAAAATCTCAGTTAAAGACTAGATTTAGTCATGTCCCAAGAATCTAAATTAAACTTAAAACCTTGCTCTACAAATCGACAGAATGTGTTTTAAGTTTGTTTGTACATCCCAAAAAACTGTGTCACATTACCGTCGGTCTATCGGTTTCCCTGTCCGTATAATCCGGTCGGATTTTGATGAAACTTTGGCGCCAAGCTAGGACTCTGCCAAAACCGAAAAAGATTTGTAGTCTTCGTATAAAAAATAGTAGCGACGGAGCAAGAGATAAAAAACGAAAGAAATAAAAATCGGTCAAACTTCGTTTCTCAACGAAGTGTTGGGGAAAGTATATCTCAATTTTTTGATCCTCCAACCCTGATAATTTCACATACATATTTCATACATCAGGGACTTCCCTGTACATTTGTCCTTAAAGCTTGGATGATAGAGAGATATTTTCAATATACGCGTCTGACCGATGGATAAGTGGCGAGAGGCAAAACTGATTGCGGCGACGTTGCCAGATGTCCATTTCCATTTAGTTTTTCTGTTGGTAGCTAACGTTCTTCTCAGAGGGGCTAGATTGTGCAGAACATAATCATTCATGATCTGATGGCAGCATTGCGAGGGTAGTATAACTCCATTTGTTAACATACCCGTTATTCCTGCAGAAAAACAATACGGGGCACTGTAAGGTGGCTGCGAAGTTGAATGCCGCGTGCGCGTCACCTTCTGAAGCTGCGCCGTCTCCAAAATAACAAATCACCACCTGGAATCAATTAAATATCTAGTGTAAGTTGTCCTAAAATCCATATTAAGTGAAGGCACGAGAGTAGCTTCTAATGCAGTGATGTTTTTCACTCTTAGATTGTTAGTTCAGCTACTGTAAGCGGAAATATCATTACATGGGAATTTACCTGTTGACTATACTACAATGCTGTATCGAAGCAAAACAATAAAGAATCTAATTGCCAACAAAATTGTTTCTATTAGTTTTTTTTACATAGTATCGATGACCTTCGAGATTTTCGATCAAACGTGTTTATCAAAGTGGTGGCAAACGCGTAAGCCCTATCATAACGGCAATTTGAACATATCATTAGGAAGCAATAACACTGATAAACACAGGATTTGTGATGTGACAGTTTCTAGGTGTATCTTATGTATTTTGAGACCCTTGAATCAAATCTAAAAACAGAATTTTTCTATCACCCACAGATATTCGGTAACATCTACTGAACTACAATACGTAACATCTCATATTGCTGCATATCTCGGCGTTTATGCGATGATGCACATATGTATATAACGTAATGTTAAGACATGCCTATTCCTGTTTATTATATTCTAGCTCTAAGCTTAGAGAGCATATTGCGTTTATTATCATACTAATAGCAGCGGAGTCAGTTACGTTTTCTGTGTTGAAGAGTACTGAGATGTTCTGAGTACTGTTAATTTTTGTTAAAACGGTATGTTGATCTTAGTTTATTGTGATCGAGACTAGCTTGATAGACAATGCCTAAAAATTGTTTAAATAGTGCGAACAGTTTTTGTTATGTGTGCGGAGAGCTTTAAACTTTTAAATCCCAAAACCGGACTTTTACTCCCCTTGTGTTGAAAGCAAACGAACCCTTTTTTGAATTAAAGTTGGCGACCAAGATAAACTATGGGCCCCTCATATATGTCGTAAGACTTGTGTAATGTTGGTAACAGGTTGGTTAAGAGGCGACAATCGTAAAATGCCCTTTGCGGTACCAATGGTTTGGAGAGAACCGAGAGACAATACTACTGATTGTTATTTTTGCCTCAAATATTAAAGGTATTGTACCAAAATCGAAGCATACTGTTAAGTATTTTAATTTACCATCAGATTTGCGGCCCGTAAAGCATAGTGATAAACTTTCTGTCCCAGTTCCAACAGAATCTTGCTCTTTGGATGAAAAAGTCGAATCCACCGATTCTGAAAACGGTACGGAAAGCGTAAAAATTTCCGATGCTTCGTTTGACCTGCCAGGATGTTCAACAGCGCGACATTTGGTCATACAGGGCGAACTTATTGACTTAGTTCGAGAATTAAATCTGTCAAAATCCCAATCAGAACTTTTAGCGTCAAGATTAAAAGGATGGAATCTTCTCCACGGTGATGTTAACTTTGCTTTTTACCAAAAACGGCAACAAGTCCTCACACACTGTTTCCGTCAAGAAACGGAGTTGATATATTGCTCCGATGTGAACAATTTGTTTGACGCGTTAGGTGAGAAACATGATCCAAATGATTGGCGCCTGTTCATTGATTCCTCTAAAGCTTCATTTAAAAGCGGTATTGGTACATAACGGTAATAAATATCCATCTCTACCTATTGCGCATGCAGTTCATATGAAAGAATCATATGAAAATATACGAATTCTGTTAGAGCATATCCGTTATAATGAATATGGATGAGCCATATGTGCAGATTTGAAGGTAATAGCCCTTCTTCTTGGAATGCAACTGGATATACCAAATATTGTTGTTTTCTTTGTGAATGGGACCGTCGTGCGAGAGATCGTCATTATGAACAGAAAGAGTGGCCACTACGTCGGGTATTAACTCCGGGGCTCAAAAACATTGGTCATGAACCACTGGTTGATTCCAAAAACGTGTTGCTTCCACTTTTGCATATTAAGTTGGGACTGATGAAAATTTTTGTAAAAGCTATGGATCGAAATGGAAGAGGGTTTCTGCATTTAAAACAAACATTTCCGAGACTTAGTGAGGCAAGAATTAAAGAGGGCATATTTGTGGGTCCACAAATACGGAAAATCATGAAGGATGATGTATTTGGCAGTGCTCTAAATGAAATTGAATTACGAGCTTGGAATGCTTTTAAATCAGTTACTGCAAATTGTTTAGGCAATGTGAAGGCGCACAATTATAAAGATATTCTGAGTGAACTAATTAATGCTTATAAAGGAATGGAATGTATCATGTCTCTAAAAATTCAGTTTTTGGATTCTCATCTCGATTTTTTTCCGGATAATTCAGGTGCGGTAAGTGCTGATTATTGCTGGGCATTGTTAAGAGATACTTTAGGAGCAACATATCAACATCGACAACAACATTCTGAGATTAATGTTTATTCGAGTGTTTATTAGTACTCTTACACACATATCTTTATATTTTACGAGTATACGCAGCAAATAAAATGACTTATTGCAAGAAAACCGTGGGTGATAGAAAAAATCGAATGGTATTTCCGGCTTTATGGACATGTTTTACATAATAACCACCTTGTTTTGTCCATGTCACAATAATTATTTTAATTTTGTTCACCAGTGTAATTTAACCATAACACTAAAAAATTGACTGTCGCCAAACCTGTAGGATTTCCTTACACATGATCTGCCTACCTCTTGGCCTAGTGTACCGACAGTAAAAAGAAGCTTGGCGAAACATATTCACAAACGCAAGTCTTCAAAATATTTAACAATGTAATGTTTTCAGCTACCTAGCAAATATATAAGCTTATCAGTGAATCATGGTTTTGAGAAATGTAGTCGACCTCATCCAGTGACATTTAGCTAGATGGTCTTACTTACACGGTTCTGATCCTTGAGAGCATAAGCCGATCCGACAGCTTGTGGTAACTGGGTAGTTAGCGGACTAGAAATGGTGACAAAATTCAGCTTCTTGCTTCCGTAGTGTACAGGCATCTGTTTTCCTTTACCCATATCGGCGATGTTGCCGTAACATTGGTCTACGAATTCTTGTAAAGTGAACCTGGTACCAAAAAGATAGTTTTACATATTCATTTAATTAGTCCTTACGCAAATCTAATACGGCCATAGATAATAAGGATCCAATAGAAAAATCGTATATTATCCTAACAGTAATCGTCTTCCTTATAAAATGACCACACAAAAAATACAAATAGGAATAGGACTCCATTACCTAGCCTAAATAAAACAACATATTTATATGTTCTGAGCTTTGCAGGCTTTGTGCGTAGCTATCTTAACATTGCAGTTAAGCTTCGCATAATCTCTGTATGTTACAGGACTGTTCAGAATATTGTAGTAACACTCTGTATAGGAATGTGAAACGAGATGTCACCTGGGAGACAGAAAATTAAACATCTTGTCTTAGAATTGTCCTTGAAAAGGACGATAGTGATTGTGGAAACGCCTTAGGATAGAGATCGAAACATGAAAACCACAGGACAAATTTCAGGAGTAATAAATGGAAACAACCTCATTCGTAGTCCATTTACGCCCAGACAAAACACAACATGCCCAAAAGCGAGATTGTACAGGTCCGTATTTTCCTCAATGGTTTTGGAATAATCTAACAAATAAATGATTATTTTTATAGAAAGAAGTGCACATAGTTTTTACAATTCTTTATTTTGGTTTGTAGCCATTTTGTCAGTAACATTAAGATTATGTTTATATTTTTGCTGCCTGTCTAGATGGATAAGTTCTGCTTTGACCATATTTTCATTGAAACTAATGTCAATTGATAGGAGCCATTGTTGAACCTCAGCCATTCTTGTGGACATTGTAGGAATTTTTTTCAGTTTTCTAGTGTCGTATGCAGCATTATCAAGTACAATGACGGCATTGTCGTCGAGCTTTGGGAGCGTTTCTTCAAACCATCATTCAAATGAACTCCCGTCCATTTCTTCATGGTAGTCGGTCGTTCTCTTTGACTCAAATGCCCATAAGGCAGTGGGCACAAAGCCACCTTCACTGCCAATGTAACAGACAACAAATTTCCTGGAAACAATTATTTCATATAGAATTCAAGAAAATGAGTAATAATACAAGCAGAGTATCTATCAGGTGTTGGTTTCAGATCAAGCTAAGTTTAGTGTAGCTACGTTTTCAGCGTGGACTCATAGATTCACTCTACTTGAGACCGTTTTTATAACACAAATGACGAATTGGTTAGATACACGTACCTGATGAATTCTTTAGGCCAGTGATTAGTCCATCTAAGATGGCTTGTCTTGCTGATTTAATTGTACTCGTAGAGTCAACCCATAGTTTAGGTTTTCTATGTCTTGCATTTATCCAGGTTTTACCAAGTAATAAGTCTTCCTGCCCGAGTCGCTGTATGTCTTTATTGATTTTAAATATTTTCTTCTCCGTAAAATTATCTCTCAGCTGTCCAAAATACTATTATTGCTCCGTTTACTAAAAATGAAGTTCTTATACAATGTGGTCATTTTGAAAGTAGGTAAGTCTTCATCACTATTAACCTTCTGTAATACCTTGTCTATGGTGGGAAGTTCCTGCCTTTCAAAAGTGATGGACTTTGCGTCTGATGGCATTCCGATCGAAGTTATCAACTGTATCCAACAGCTTCGCGTAATGCAGCCTCTTGTGTGGTGGATACAGTTTTTTGTTTTTTTATATTCTTTAACAATGTGGAAAATTGTCTTAGAACATAAGCCTGTTTTGTTGGCCACACGTCTTTCAATATCATGAATTTTCTTTTCAGGATGCTCTAAAATTTGTCTCTTATAAACGTTAAGGACAATTTGTTTTGCTGAGTATTCAAATGTCCCTTCTTGTCACATTTTCGGGGAGGAGACATCACTGAAGAGGAAGCATGGCTGAAGGAAGCATTGGGATAAATATTGTCAGTTTCATCTGCTGTATCCGTAGACGACATGCTAACGTATAAGCACACGCTATGTATGCAACTGCCGGCGTCGGCGTGCCGGCGATACCCCGAGCCTGAGTTCTATCCTGTCGAATCCTGCACATGGTTTTATGGCCGAATGACCAATATCTATTGTAACGGTTAGGCAGCTGCTGCTTTGCCACGCTGCGTATGGACTACGAATAGTGTATAATCACATTTTGGGAAATCCAGATTCATCATCAGATAATAGTGGATGAAGATACCGAATTTAATGCTTCACAGAACTGCGTATCTTATTTGCAGAACGGTCTCCCTACAGATAGTTCACTCATCCAGAATAACATCTTGGAATTGCCGCGATTGGAGACTTGCAAGTGGGAGGATATACCGGCAAATTTAAGGATGCTTGATGAGGACACGTGGATGTTGAGGGACTCGGTGATTGATCAGGATTGGAGATATAACGGAGATCAAGTTCCCAACATATTTAACAAGGGTGGAGAGGACCAAGGTCATCATAACACCAGACAGAGAATTATCTCTTTTAATATCACAGCAAGAATGATTGAATGGGCAGACCAGATTCTCGTCTGTGTTTCACAGATGAATCCTTTTCCAAGGAAGCAGGATCCAGTGGGGCTCAGTTTTACCTGGAAGGCAAGACGTGTAGTGAAGCTTTGCGCTCCGAGCTCCGAACCTGCACTATTGTATTCCAGACAGAGATATTTGCCATCAAGCCTAGATTAGGTATAAGTAGACACCTGGAGGAGGCTGCACTTAATGAATGAACGTATTGAAATCTAGAAAAACTATGTTGAGCGGGAGCAAGATATAAAGGTGACTACAGACAGTCGAAGAACCTCAAAGGCCCCTTTTGCTACTGGACAAAGGTAGAAAGTCACTTGTCCCCATTAAAGGTGAAAAGACATCCTATCTGCTGCCTGTCGTGCTAGGAATACAAGACAGCGTTTTACCTCCGAAACTTTTGCGTTGTGTATTGCAGACCAAGTGCTAAGATATTCGGAGTCATGAAGTTTGATAGTGATTTCTCCTTAGGAGATCGACAAAACTAGCAGATAATGTGGGGTTTAGTGTTAGTACACAGAACTCAGCAAAAATTATCAGAGGCGGCCTAGTTGACAGGCTTCGCCTCCCTGGCATGCTGCTACGAGTACAACTGTTCAGATATAAAAATATTGACTTCCAGTTGAGAGGTCCAATGCAGTTGGGTTTATATACGAGTACTTGCACAGTTTAAAATCCTGAACCTTCCAGTCAATAAACCAGCTCTGTACCAATTAAATTGTAGAAACTGAAGTTTATAATTAGTTGCCTACCCTTTTACACTTCGCATGAACAGGTCAAGTCCTGGACTTGACTAGTTTTTCCAAAGTGTTGTCAGTCAAATACAACACAGATACCCCGAACCCGGACATAGATTCCTTCCGTGCCTTAGAAATACAAAAAAGAAAGCACGGCAAAATATATTTGCCGCAAGAGTACTCAAAGATTATTGAAAATATGTACAAGCAAAAACTCGTCCATCTAGAGCAGGATATATTTTTAAATTTCAAGACCCATTTGCAATAGTTGTTTGCAAAGCGTCCTTCAGAAAGAACAATAAATTTATGAGTAGATCTTGATTTCCATAAATATTCTTACTGGTGCCTTGAGAAAGACCGTCAATAAAGCATTCTTCAACATTTAATATTTTGTTTATCGGCAACGAAAAGGAGGAGATCGATAACAACATGTATGTATACTAAGTGACATATAAATCCGAACACCCAGTTTAAATGGTTTTATTTTAATAAAAGTTGGTGAATGTATTTATCTTACTGTAAATAACAAGTGAAAAAATGTTCAGCCTTATCAGTTGGACATTCCGGTTTTTATACTGCTTTTTTTAATTCACTAAAAATGAATATTTCAGCCGCAGTAAAGAATCAACGTTGGCGGATTTTGGTTCTTGACATCCTTTACGATCGGTTACGATGCCTAGAGTACGGAGACCTGTACGATTTCGTCAACTTAGTGAGTTTGATAGGGGCCGTATAGTGGGACTTCGGGAAGCTGGACTTTCTTTTCGGGCAATTGCAGTTAGCGTGCAAAGAAGTGTAGACACTGTGGTTAGGTGTTGTCAGGTATGGCTTCGAGAAGGCCGTACGCAAAGAGCAAGGGGCACTGGACGCCGCCGTAGAATAACAGACCGTGAAGATCGCCGCCTAAGATTATTGGCCTTAAGGGACCGTTCCTAAACTACCAGGTCCATTGCAAATGAATGGTTTGCAGAACACGGAAGACCTATTGGCATGCGAAGTGTTTACCGACGAATGAGAAGTTTTGGCTTGTTTTCATACCGGCCACACTGGGTCCTCCCTTTAACTCGAGAACACCGACGTAATCGCCTTGAGTGGTGCAGACAACGGTCACTCTAGGATCAGGAATGGAACAGTATTGTCTTTAGTGACGAGTCTCGATTTTGTTTAGGCATGCACGATGGTCGTGCCAGGGTTAGAAGGCGACGTGGTGAAAGGAGGAATCCACAGTTTTTTGTTGAAAGACATGTTCATCACACTGTTGGAGTTATGGTTTGGGGTGCTATAGCTTATGGTTCCAGGTCACCTTTAATCTTCATCAGAGGTAACATAAACGCGCAGCGTTATATCCACGAAGTTCTAGAACCCCATCTTTTACCCTATCTTGACACCCTGGCAGATCCAGCTTTCCAACAAGATAATGCCCGACCACATGTTGCAAGAGTCACAATAGACTTCTTGATGTCACATTGTTACCATGGCCACCAAGATCTCCCGACTTATCCCCAATTGAGCACGTGTGGGATATGATGGGTAGGAGATTGCTCAATTTGCAACGTCCTCCTCAGACTCTAGAAGCACTTCGAGAGGAGTTGGTGGTTGCCTGGAATGGGATACCACATCAGGGTGCATGAACACATTATTAAAGGTCAAAGGGCTTTAAAGCAGTGCAATCATTTTGAAATTTTTATCATTTACTTATTATGCTTCATTAAATACTTATACAAAATTTTATTAAAATAAAACCATTTAAACTGGGTGTTCGGATTTATATGTCACTTAGTATATTATTTCATTCGGCAACTTAACAAAAAATAACATTTGTTTGTTTTATTTTAAATGTATCCCTTAAAAAATCAAAAAACTTTGCATAAACCAGTCAAGTCCATTAATCTTTCCCTGACAGCTTTATAGATTTATTTTTTATGTACAGATTGATAAATTAAAAAAATAATGCAGAAGAATTATCTGCAATTGACAACAAATACGAAAATGTTCAGTAACTAAAAAATGTACATCAAAAATGTTTTTTATGTTTCCTCGACATTTTTCCTCATGTAACTTGAATGGTTGATGCATTGGACCCCTCAATTATCAGGAGCCAGGACTTATATTTAAAGACCGAAAGCATAACTCATCGTATGCCACTGCTGATTTCGTCGATGGAAAGACAAAGGGGCGTAAGTCGGAAAATTCTCATTTGGTCATTTAGTAATTTCTGAGAGTGGATATCTATAATATGACGAAGTGAAGTATCTCTCCTTATAGTTAACGTAATATGGCAAATCAGTATGTGGACGGATCTCCTATTCTTACTAGTCTTAAAAGGAGAAACGGGCGTATATCGCGTCTCCTGTAATAGCTGAATTGGAGTTACGTCTCTTTGTCTTTCCAGCGACGATTTGTGCGTAGATATCATGGTACTCGAAGGCACACCGCGTTGATAGCGACATGCGATGCGTTGCGTTACTCTCTCCCATTTTAGTGCTTTAGACTAACTAGAATAATTACAACGAGATAAAGCCGTCAGAAAGAATGCTTATTACAAAATGCTTACCCTCTCCATAAAAGCACTCCAGTTTCTCTATACTGAGCGTACACTACATCTTCTAAGCTTAGAGCTGCTGCGCTTCCAAAATGAGTTGCTTCTTCTCCATAACTTGTCATGTAGAAGGATATCCGGCCTTGTCTGGATTTTGTAAATAAAACATATAATTATTGTTTGCCTATTTATTATATATACGTATACATGAAAAGTAGAACAATTCATTTGAACAAAATACTGTTTCATGCTAACACATTCACTGTTGACTACACAAAAAATACCTTTGAGATTCGTATAGTATCTTGTCCATACTGTTGAGCAGCACCATGTCTTTGTACATCTTAATCAGGGTTTCTTCAGGAACTTTGGGATCTTCGTCGGGCACGATGACGTTGCCTTGACGATCCATGACTCTGTAGACTGGAATTGACGGATACGAATTCTGGTTCAGGAATTCCAGCTTTTCTGTCCATGTTGTTTTCGCTCCAGGAAATAGAGGCGCTTCAGTTAGAAGACGCTGGAAGAAGTCGGAAATGTGATTGAGTAAAAAAATGCTCATCCAAACATTGTGTACTCATTACGAAGAAGTACAGAAGCTAGACGGGTAAGTCCTTAAAGCAACAATTCGTTTCACAAGCTTTACCGATAACGAGGAACAAGCAATCCGCTATTCCGATCACTGAGTATATTTCAGAGAAATGTTTGATTTGAAGGTCACATGCTGCTGTGAAAGCACGTTATTTCCTAATTTAATAACCTTCAATATTTCAAAATGGGCAAATACGTGGATATAGTCGAAAAAAAAATATGCCCTAAATCCCGAAAGATTTTTTTATATTCCAACTACCACGAGGACCTAAAGCCTAAACACCCATGGGGAACCGTGAGGCTATATGGGGATACAGGGGAAAGGGAGAACGCCTCACGAACTCTAGCGAGAGAACACGTGTGCATGCAGCATTCTGGCCCCGCCTACGAGATCCGCCGGGTGGTACCTCTGCGTTCGAGAGTCAATGACCGTCTACCACCTACGGAGAATCACAACATCCACAGCCAAGAGAAAAATTTCTCATGGGACGGGATTCGAACCCGCACAGCGCACGGCGACTGATCAGGAGACCGAAGAGTCTAGTACTGCGGCCACCGCTGCTGCCTGAAGATGGGTTTATTACTAAGTATTTTAGAAACTAAGCAGACTATTTATTGAATTCTAGTCCTGCAGTGATACTCCGGTGCTGTTTAACCTTTATACGATCAATTTTTTAATATGCTCATGATTGCTTTCTTTTTTGGATGAAATCACATGGAGATCACAAATGACTTTCAGATTCCATATAATTGGATTCTCAACATTTTTATAAAGGAATGCAGAAACATCACTAAGACCTGTGTCAATATATAGGGTTGTCCAATAGGGACGCAGGAAAGTAAACGTCAATTTGACATAGACGCCATCTTTGATTTCTGTCACCGACATGTCATTTTGTTAGTTGAATGTTTATCATTGATCGCTATGGGGTCGTATTCGATTGAAGACCCCATTAAAGTTATTCAAGAGCACTACAAAAATAGTGCAAAAATAAAAAAACACGTTTCGCGCGCTTCGTGAACATTTCGGTCGCAACAACCGCCCAAACGAAACAACCATCGGTCGTCTGGTGCGTAAATTCGAGGCAACAGGTTCTGTGGCAAATCTGCCAGGCTCTGGCCGGCCAAGGAGCGTTCGCACACCGGAAAATATTGCTGTTGTGAAGGAGAGTGTGAGAGACGATCCGAAACAATCAACAACGCGTCGATCCCAAGAATTGGGCATTTCGAGAACCAGTTTGCTCCGCATTATCCACAAGGATTTGAATGTACACGCCTACAAGATCCAATTGACGCAAGAGCTGCGTCGGGCCGACCATTTTTCGCGCCGAACGTTCTCAGATTGGCTCCTTGAACACCGCCAAATTGATGCCAATTTTTCATCAAAAATCATGTTCAGCGATGAAGCGCATTTCACTTTGAATGGGACGGTAAACAAGCAAAACTGCCGCATCTGGGTGAACGAAAATCCCAGTGAGTATCAAGAGCAGCCGATGCATCGTCAAAAAGTAACTGTGTGGTGAGCATTGTGGTCAAAAGGCATCATCGGACCTTACTTTTTCGAAAATGCGGCCGGGGACGCCGTTACCGTCAATTCTGAGCGATATCACGTGATGATAGAGGACTATTTTTTGCCGCAACTTGAAGGAATGGATATGGACGATGTTTATTTCCAACAAGACGGTGCAACATGCCACACAACCAACGTCAATATCCACCGATTGCAATCCTTCTTCGGTGATCGCGTGATTTCGCGCAGAGGAAATGTGCCATTGCCACCAAGATCGTGCGATTTGACTCTCTTGGACTTATTTTTATGGGGATATTTGAAAAGGAAAGTCTATGTCAACAAACCAGCCACCCTCCAAGAACTCAAAAACAACTCATTGCCGAGATAAATGCCATAGAACCGACCATGTTGCAAAATGTCATTGAAAATTTCGACCATCGCATGGACGTCTGTAAATCCAGTCGTGGTGAACATTTGAGCAATATTATTTTTCATACATAAATGGTATAAATGAACCTTCAAAATAAAGTACCCAACTTGATTTGAATATCAATCTTTCTTCTTTTAATGCGTATGCGTTTACTTTCCTGCGTCCGTTTTGGACAACCCCATATTTATATAATTGAAGACTTGAAATAAAAAATGTGCCAATAAATACAACCTTGTTTATTTATATAAATATTATTGCTTTTATGGATTTATTTAGTTTCCAAGCTATGACATGGATTTCGCCCTAATTGGAAAGCGAAAAAGGCAAGAGAAGTGCGAGGTACCTATGGATTTGGTGGGAATGCTGATAGCAACAGTAGAAAAACACCATTTCCTGTTACAATCATGAACCATAATGACTTTTTTAATTTTAAAGTTGTTTCTGAAAGTTCAATCATTACATCCAAGCTTCAAATTTCGAAAGACCAGTGGGTCAATATTAGCCGAGAAAATCCAGGACTCGTTAGCATCCGAGAAACCTTGAACGAAATTGGAATTGGAAAACAACGAAGATTTTGAAGGAAAATGTTACTATTGAAACTATCGCAAAAATGACTCTTCCAAACTTGACCTGCCAAAGTAGAATTTCTGAAGAAAAAAAACAAAATCTGCTAGCAATGATTCCTTATTTGAAGAAAGAAAATAGACAATTTCATGGAGATCTATTGATACTAATAGTTATATATTCATTAGAAGCTAAATTTTTTACGTTTATTTCGTTATTATTTACCACAATATATATACATATATTTTTGTAATGACACTTAAGACATTCTATGATTTTGTAACTGTTATGATTTTTTTTGCTATTTTTTTAAAAAAGTTCCCGAAAATATTAAGTGCACAGAAAAATACTTACTTGGATAAACATATGTTTAATTTTTAGAGAGTTTTTTTAAATGCATTGATTGTAGAACAAATAATATTGTTAATGTCTAGCTTTCACAGATAACAGATGGTTAGGTGTTTAAAATACTTGCTGCTTGGTCATTGACATTAAGTGTACTGCAACCTTACATTAAACAAAAGTAAAAAGTACATTTTTAAAGACAAGGTTTTAATAAAACGAAGAATTTTAAAATATCTTTTTCTTAATGGAATTTCTTTAATGAAAATGAAACGCATTCTTCTCAATGTTTCAAATAAAAGCGTGTTACAACCTTTTTTAAAATTTCTGTTGAAACGTAAGAAGTGTTTACTGGAAAACTTGAGATGAAGGAGCTTCAATCATGTTTAAATATCTACCAATCAGAAAAGGTATTTTAAAAATATTAGTACCTTCAACTAACATCTGAATCAAAGCTTGTTTTTAAAAATGTAATTTTCATTTTATTCATAATAGGACTTAATATTTAGTCTTTATGATGTGAAATTACTAGTTTAGTAATAATATGTCAAATTTCCAGTTCAATTGGTTAAGCTCAACTGGTTCTGAATCCAGTTTCAGGATTTTTCAACATACTATAACACTTACTAACTTACTAGCAAACAGGTCAAGTTGAATAAAAGCTTGTTAAAATATGTTGATTGAAAAGTGATGCGTTTCGCGATTCTTCGTATACAGTACAATTCCGCGAATACTACATACACAATTCAAGTACTGTAGCGAATGTGATTGGAAACACTGATGTGAAGAAGCCGTTAATGGAGAAGACTGTCTTTTATTTTCTCAAAATATTTTTTTATAAAACACATTTCCTAAAAAATCATCATCTTCATTAATGCCTTCTTCTTCAGACTTCCAAATTTCGTCCCGAAAGCAATAGTTATACATGAACTGGAACGTCTTTGAAATACATCATGTTCTATTCCGTAGAAATAGGAATACCATGAACCCTTGAAAAGCTTGAAGTCTCTGCTTCTATAGTGCCACACTACATGGATAATCAGTTGCTTTAGCTGATGTAATAAAATGAAACTATACTTGAAAATCCCAAAAATGCCCCCCATCAACGATATAGCTGTATTCAACTTTCTTGCCGTGTATTTTATGACTTCAAAAGTCTAACTTTTCTATATGTTCAAGGTTCTATCGCTTTAGATAATACTAAAAAAGTGTATTGGTACTCATTCGTTTTGAATTGTCACTTCTGTCATTTCTTAAAGCTCTGCAGGTGGTAATTTTATTTAGCAATTCTTGCAAGTTTAATCCGTTTTGATTTAAGTATAGAAAAACACCCTCAATTTTTTATGTTTCGCATATAGGTACAAAACCACTTGCATACTTACATTGTATATACTTATAGATCTACAGATATTTCTTAAACAACGGGTGACGTTCCTACTGAATACCACCATCTTATTATCACAACACAACTGATACTGATTATGACAAAACGCTGGTTAATTATGCATGCGACTGTCGACCTCAGATAACAAAAGTTCGTTCCAACGAAATTTGATTTGTATTAAGTAATTTTATTTAGCGCAGTGGCGTTCAATAAATAAGGGTGATTTTTTGGGTCCTCAACATTGCACGCATCAACGCGCAATGGAGAAAGTTAGAAGTAGTCGTTCTCTGACACTCTGAGAGCGAAATGTTTACGGTAAGAAGCAGTCAAAAACAACACAGGCCCACTAAATAAAAAAATTGATGTATGCTTGGATTCCCACTATGTTTTTTCCATCTACTATTTCGCGCTGAAAACGAATCTGAAAACAAATAAGAAAGTAATTGAGGCATTAAGATAATATTTTGCTAATTCTGTCCGAGTCCTCTGAAGAGATGCAGACCCATCGACCTTTTACAGCAGTATAGTTTACACCACTTTCACGCAAGTGGTACCGCGAGTTTTGTCAAGTAACTGATAAAGAGGTTTTCAATATACGAGCCCCTTCCCACTTCAGTTGGCCCAACTATTGAAATCTTACTTTTTTTCTTATCAAACATAAATAATAAAAATGTAGCAGGGTGTTATAGGTTTAAAATATTAACAATGAATATTTTGATAATATATAGTAGAAAACATCAACTTTATCACTCCCTAATCAAATTTGCAGCATAAAAATAGCACATGTTGCAATTACAGCATATCAACCTATTTTCATTTCAATGCAAAATAAGTCTATAACGCATAGCATAGACATGACAATTGTTTTTATTAATCACAGCTGTCAGAATACGTTTAAAATAGTTTTGGGTAGTTTCAAAATTTCTAGAGCGGCGAGAGGTTATTAGTGAGAAAATTCGGTTACTGATAATTAAATTTTTTAATTCTGGGAAATCAAACTCAGAAATTGCAACTTTGTTAGACTTATCGCGGTACAGTGTGAGAAATATTGTTAGAATATATAACGTAACTGGTCAGTTAATATAATACGATATGTGAAAAAAAGTAATATCATAAATGCCGACCGAAGAGCATTAAGAAGAATAATCGTGAAAAACAGGCGTGCCAATTATTTACAGTTAAGTGCTCTGTAGACTGACGCTGTTGAGAGGAGAATTTAGAGGTCCACAACTCATAGAGAGGCCCACAAACTGGGATTTAGCACTTGCAAGGTAAGTTTTCTTATAAAAAAAGTGAAGTAAAAACCCTAAAGTTGCACAACGTGCTTATAGGCCAAAGAAAAGCCACTATTAACTCCACTGCAAAAGAAAAATCGGCTTAGATGGGCTAAAGATCATAGACAATGGACACGTCAACAATGGTGTGCAATACAATGAACTGATGAGGTCCGATTCGAAGTTTGTGTTGGTGACAGTTGCAGTAGAGTTATTCGCAAAAAATTAAGCATTCCATGTTGACTGTCTGAAGAGAAAAGTGAAATTTCCAGCATCCATTATCGTCTGGGGCAGTATGTCATCAAAAGGAGTAAGAAAACTTCATTTTATTGATGGAAATGTGGATACGAACAAATATTTGGCAATTTTAGAAGAATCGCTTTTGAGATTTTGTGTTTCAGCAAGATGGTGCAGCGTGCCATACCTCAAAAAAGGCTATAAAGTGGATGGAAGATAATATTATACCACTTTTGAAATGGGTTTCTAGCAGTTCAGATCTGTCACCTATTGAAACTTTGTGGCGCGAGATGAAAAAGGTTCTACGACAACATCCTGCTCGTACAATCACCGAACTGAGACAAAAACTTAAAAAAATATGGGATTGTTTTACACCAAATTTTTGTCAAAACTTGGTTAACACTACGCCCCAAAGAATTTCAGCCGTAATAAAAAATAAAGGTGATGTTACCCAATGGTAATCTTTCAATTGTTGCTTTGTTAACTTCGCGCTTTTATTCGCACATTGTTTATTTGTTCAGATATTCTGTTAGTTATAGGTCTAAGTGATTTCAAATATGTATTTTTTACGACTATAGTGTATCTAAAATGTTTTTGAGAAAATAAATTGTTTTAGAAGTAAATGGTTTCGTCATGTTTAGTTTATAAAGGCATATTTTGGTACAAATCTTGAAGTGGGCCAACTGAAGTGGAAAGGGGCTCGTACTAATGAATGAAAAAGCGTTCTGATTTTTGAAGAGCGTTTAAGGTTGTTGGACTTTTTTACTTTTTTGTTTTAATAATAACAATCATGATGGTGATAATAACAATAACACATATTAATAATAATAATAATAATAATAATAATAATAATAATAAACGGCTTTATTGGCGGAGTATATAGTAAATGATTTCATGTATATATCTTTAAACTTGAAGAAAAAAGAATCGTAATTGATCGCATGGTTTAGACTCAAATGACATTTATTGATTGATCCTACGCTGCATCTGTGGGATATGAAGTATGAGATGCACTTTAAAATGGATACTATTAATATTTAAAATTTTAATATTCCTGCAGCACCTGTGAAAGGTCAATATAAGAATTACGTATATAAGCACTGCACAATGTTTTTTATGTCTTGTATTGACATTGTTATGTCTGAAACTATTAGATGAGTAGTCAAATTCGCCGAAGGTACAAACAAGCCGGAAACAGTTATTCTATAATCTCTCTAAACGCATTTGAGTTGAATAGCCCACGCATGGATGCTTCGTCTTGGAGTTACCGATGTACTTATTGGCATACAGAACTTGCTGATTGATATAATAATTCTGAAATACCATTTTAACGTATTGTTGGTGAAGTAACTTGTCATCAATGAACCTACAGCTAGTAAGGGTAATGAAGTCGCTTATTCAAGACTACTGCTTAAGCTTTATCGTTTGCGATCAGAATGTGCCTTGCTTCTTTCAGTCTTAAAATGTAGTGGCAATTTCTTAATTTATTTGAGCTTGAGTTTTAGCTAAATAACAATGAAAAAGCAGGCATCTGTCTCACTTAGTTACGAAGTTATGACCAAAATAAGCTCGAAACTCGAACATTCCCGAAACAAACCTCCTTAGCGGAAATAAAATCAGGTTATAAAGACGGGGATGATTCGGCCTCCCTGTATGTTTCGGTCTCAGAATATTACTACATAGTTGAAGCTATTTTAATTCAACAATCAGTGACCTGATTTTAGTAGATAAGGAGTATAGTGTGGGTACTATGGGGTCGGCAGGGTCACAGGTGGGACCAGTTGCCAGGCTTCCTTTCCCTATCACTATTACTAACCTCTCGCGAACTGGCTGCTGCCGTGGTTGACTCATCGATTCTATTGTCGCAACACTGTTGTCGGATAGTCGGTATAGCAATGAAATTTCTAGATCACAACATTGTCAAATGGCAATGACTGGAGACTAACTGTACGAGCTTTTTTTATTAATTCGATCCAACGAATTATTTTGTTATACATGTTGATGTTTAACGTCTCTCTAAGAGAGGCTGATTTATGCTCAACATTGTCTTTTATGAACTGTTGACAGCGTTGCGTGGGAAGTGCAGAGTCAACCTACTTGACGCGACTTTTTCTTTGAAATCAGTCATTGACGTTAGAGTTCTGTACATAATTGAGGATGCCATGATGTCTCCCGAAGGAATGGGGCAACAACAAGCAGATTTAGCTTGCTGCATCGCGCGGAAAAAAACCCATTGCGAATAAGGCATTTCTTTCCTATGCACGACCTGGTATATATTACCTCTATATTAGAGTATTCTTTTGAGATTCAATTCATCGGAGAGAATTATTGCGTAGGGGTGGAAAATAATTTTATATTCATGTATTTTTAGCTGCTACTACTTTTAGAAGTTCTGTACTGCATATGCCGTGGTCCATAAATTATCTCTATATTACAGCATTTTTCTGAGATACAATTTCATGCAAAAGAATTATTCCGTTGGGGAATGAAATGTTAATTGTTTTTCTGACAAGATGGTGTGTTGCAGTTGTAGCAATGGTTTTTCTTGGTAACAAGCAAATATTAGGTCACCTCCAAATTTATGGATACAATAATATACAGATAAAACATAAACCTTCCTAAAGTTATATGCCCATTCAGGGAATTGCGGGGAAATTATTATCATTTGCTTTAGTGCGCGGGCACATATTTGTATCTAATAGCTTTTTCTTTTGGTAAAACTAGTCTTGCATCGGTGCAAATTGATTTTAAATGCAAGGGAAAAATCATCCAAATTGTTATTGGCACGAGACATGAAATGCGGAGAGCCCCAAAAACCTATAAATTGTGAAAAAAACGACAAAATGTCAACTTGCTGTCTAAATAGTTCCTAGTGTGCAAATAGTAGTATAGTATCATGCTTTGTTGATTTCAGAATGCCGAGATAGTCTGTACAGTATAATATGAGAAGATGTGTGGTTGAGTAGTAGCGTAGCAAGATAATAATAATTTATTATTATTGTGATAGAGTTAAAAGTACAAACAAAAAAAACTCATTTGATGAGGGAGGCGGAATTCAACACCGTTGCTTTTTCATACACATCTGAATGATTGTCTAATTTGAATTTTCTACTTGACATCGAGAAATAAATTTCTTCAAAATTTAAATTACTGAAAATAAAAATTAATGTGAAATGTAATAACTTTTTTACGTTTCAAAAATATTCCTGTGTGTACCAAATTGTCTCACCTCTTAGTACTTACTTCACCACCCAGGGATTCTCTTTCCTTATTGCTCTCTCTTTTGAAATGCAGCATATTTGCATTATGTAATTTCCAGGTTGAATAAGAAGAAGCGGATGTGCAACTAATTTTTTAGCTTTGCATACATCTCAAGTAAATGTATTTCAGACAAGAAACCAATTAAGTTATCATCAACACAGATTATTAGCACACGAATCCAGCTATAGTATACTTAAGGCTTAGTCCTCCAATAGTGCCATCTCCGAAGCAGATGCTACATCACATCAAAGCCAAACTTTGATAGCTGAAGCATCATGACGTTTAGGCAACACGTACAGCGACGGAACGAGTACACATCAAATGTACAACATCTAGTGCTAAGTTGACATCTTGTAGAAAAACTTACATAATATCACAAAAATCCTATATAATGTCAAAAAAAAC